CCCCAACATTCAGACCTCCCCCTCCCCCACACTTCTCTTCCTCCCATACGCCCAACATTCAGATCAGAGAAAAGATGAAGGCTCTGTGACTGCACCCCTACAAAGCTTGCCGTATCGTTTCGATCGATTGGCCCCAAGAGAGAGGGGACCCATAACCGAGAGCCCCTCTTGCGGAGATCACAACGAGACAATCACCGTGTCTCTTGCACAAACAGCAAGCCGGCAATGCCGAGAACAGTGAAAACAGTGACTGACCATAAGACTGCTTCTCGCACATGCGTCAACAAAAAAGAGCAATACAACTCGCATGCGCACACTTCTCAGTTGAAACGTGCACATTCCCCGACGCGTGTCGGCTAGATCGGGATCCAGGCACTCCTCAGGGGGGGGGGTGTTCTCCCAAGATCAGCTTGCGTGACGGCACCATCCCCACATTGCCGAGAAGAAGAAAAGGAGTATCAATCAATCAATGGGGTGAGAATGGCTACATAGGCAAAGGAGGACGACGACTTATTACTAATTAGTCGATTGATTGGCAGCTGAAAACCCGCGTTCCGTGAGCTGGGAGACCGCCATACGCGTAGACAGCTGAAAAAATGACTAATTAGTTGATTGATTGGCTCCTGACAAGCCCATTCGTTCGTCGGCGTTTTCGGCGGCGACCGACCACAGTTCTGCCTGTGTATTTCTCCTCCCCTGCCCTCGTGGGATCCCCTTCGCACGACTACACAAAGTCGAGAACTACAAAAAAAAAAAACAAAAAAAAAAAGACACGAATGAAGCGAGTAGTAGTTAGTAGGAACTCAATCCACGGGAGGGGGCTGAATGTCTAGAACTTCGTCGTTATCCGTCATCTCCTTTGCTGCAGCCATTGATCAAACGAAGCGCAGAGGATGATGCCACGTGGACGGCTCGAGAGTGCTGCAGTATACTATGACACGACGACGAAGAACAGGGCCGCGATCCCGACCGTGAAAATCCTCCTCATACCCCCCAAGTGTACGTTTTTCGGTGTCCAAATGACGAAAACGAATGCTGAGAGAAAGAGCCCAAAAAGAGCCCAAATGACGAAAACGAATGCTGAGAGAAAGAGCCCAAATGACGAAAACGCCGAGAGAAAGAGACCGAATGACGAAGACACTCAGAGAAAGGCAGACTTTATGACGAAAATACTGAGAGAAAGAGCGACAGAGACACAGAGAGAGAGAGAGAGAGAGGGCTGTGTAATTGTCACGCGTTGCTGATTGACTAGTAAATTGACCCAAAAAAAAAAAAAAGAATCAGACACGCATCGCAACGGGTAGAGATTGGCGGGGAAGAGCGGACACGTGTGAGTAACGTACAGAAATGTGAAGAAAAAAAAAAAACAGAAATGATTAGGTAGCGGAGATTTATTGAGAGAGGTAGAGGCGGCGAAGAAAGATGCGTGACAATAGAACGACCAAATAGCTCATGTCACATCGATTTGACGGAAAGAAAAAAAAAAGTATGACCTACCCCATAATAAGGATGTCACATGCAAAATTCAAAAAAAGAAGAAGAAAGGATGTCACATGGATTTAACAAAAAAAAAGATATCACGTGGCTAATTACAACCAGGGGAAAAAAAAAAAAAAAAAGGCAAACGGGGGCCGAATCAACAGCAGGAGAGGAAAATGTCTGAGGGGGGCATACTCAGACTACGGTAGGACTTCCCTGCATGTATATAGCCGCTTCTCCGACCCGACGTGGATGCACCTGACCGCAATTACGCCCACGACGAAGTGGAAAAAGTCCTACTGTAAGTCTCTGCCCTGAGGTCCTGAGGAGGCTTGAACACCAGACGCACACGTGTTGTTAAGAGAAAGAAGCAGAACGGGAAGAGCACCGACGTGGGGGGGATGACAGAAACACCGTGTGAACGACATTACACGAGGCAAAGTGTAGGTAGAGCGTTTAGACCGATGGAACAGTGTAGTCCGCCGTCAATGAGAGAGAGCGAAAGAGGGGGCGAAAGGGGGGGGAAGGGGGGGGGAAGGGGGGGAAAGGAGGGAACCGTCGGAGAACTAGCTACTGCAAGAGAAAGCTTTTGAGGGCTTTTTTTCACTGGCAGCAAAAAAAAATGGACTCGACTGAAGAAGGCATGTTTTAATGCTAGAGAGCATTTTTTTTTGGTTGCTAATGTATCTGACTGCGATTACGTCCAGGTCTGAAAACGCATCTGACTGCAAGTATGTCCAGATTTGAGGCCAGAAAGTTTTTTGAGTGCGAGTATGCCCTGACACAAAACAACAAAAAAGCTGGCGACACGTGGGAGATACAAGATCAGACGATCGGACTGCAAGTACGTCGGAACCTGAATGCACCTGACTGCAATTACGTATAGAGCTGATTCCGAAAAATCCGAGCGTAAGTATGTCGTCGACGAAAACGACAATTTGGCAACACGTGGCAGAAAAGACGAGAGCAAGTCCGATCAGAAAACGACAAAAGCAACGCTGAGGTAGTTCACAATCCAGTTCGAGAGCGGCAGAAAAACAAATATAATATAAATTTGTAAAATAAATCAGAATCGGTTGAAGAACAGGAAAAGAGACAGGAAACGGAACGATGAACCYCCCCCCCCCAAAAAAAAAAAAAAATCGCGACATGAAGGACAATGATGTTCAGGGAAAAGGCAAACGAAAAATCCGGGATGGACTTGTTCTGTCAAAACTGCATTAAGAAGAAAAAAGCAAAAAGAAAAACACGAAAAAGGATACGAGGGAGCACAACGCATCCAAAACATCCATCCCCGTGCTTCCCTGAGGGCATATACTCACACCAGAGCTGTTTTACTTGCTTTTCGGGACGTAATTGCGGTCAGATACATCCTTCTCCTGCCTTTCTTCCTTCTCCTTCCTTCTCCTTCCTTGTCCTTCCTTCTCCTTCCTTCCTTGCTTCTCCTTCCTCTTTTCTTTCTCCTTTCTTCCTTCTCCTTCCTTTGTCCTTTCTTCCTTCTCCTTCCTTTCTTCCTTTATTCCTCTCTTCCTTCTCCTTCCTTCTTTCCTTCCTCCCTTCCTTCTCCTTCCTTCCTTCCTTCCTTCTCCTTCCTTCCCTCCTTCCTTCGTCCTTTCCTTTTTCTCCTTCCTTTGTCCTTTCTTCCTTCTTCCTTTCTTCCTTCTCCTTCCTTTCTTCCTTCTCCTTCCTTTTGTCCTTCTCCTTCCTTTCGTCCTTCTTCTTCCTTCTCCTTCCTCTCTTCAGCAGAGACACAGCTGTGGACCATTGTCCAAATCTACAACTGCATTCTCTCCCTAAAGCATCCTCCCCCTCCCTGCGGCTACTCGCGGCAGCAATCGCAAAACCATCCCCCATCTAGATCATCTGGCCAGAACCATGCTGTTGTGGCCCTTCGATACCGACCTCTCTAAAATCCTCCCCCTTCTCTACAGTTGCTCGCGGCCGTAAGAACGATTCCCGACGCCATCTGCTCGCGTACCCCGCCCGCATTCTCGGCAGCGCCACAGTCAAGACGGCGGCGGCTTGACCTCCACTCATCATCACACCTACCTACCCACCTATCTACATACACCACAATGCCACCTACCGACGCACGCAGTTCAGCCTTTTACATCATTTGGGTGGCCCGGTTGTAGCATTCGATGTGTTCACCGAGGGCATCCCTGCAATTGCTCGCGGCAGTAAGGATGATTCTTGGAACCATCTGCGCATCCTGCACTCTCTGTCTACAAAGCGTGCAAAAAATGTACCTATAGAACAGACTGACGGCCCAAGTCCATCCCCCGAAGTTCTGCGCCGACCCCACTCTCCACGTGCAGTCGCAACACTCAGTGTCTCTGACCATCACCGTAATCAGCAAGGTCTTCTCGTATCCCGCCGAGAACTCGTCGAGCCTGCTGACGTACTTGCCAACGGTGGGCACCCAATTGCTCTGCGTCCCTTGCGCATACTTCTCGAGACGTGTGTGATGATCCTCCACTTGTTCCCCCGAGGAGAGAGCCGCAATGTACAGATCGGTAAGGACATTAAGACCGGAGGGAGGCTGGCTGCCGCAGTCTATACAGAAGGCATGGCGATAGTAGAAGCTGACAACCCAGACGTTTGAACCGCAGGCGCCGCAGGCTCCGTTAGGCACATTCTTGACAGTGACGAGGAGAGTGGGGTCCTCCAGGCGCGGCGAGATGCAGGGATCGCGCGAGAACTCGATGGTCGGTCGTCGGAACGACTCCCCAACGGCGCCTCCGCCTCTTCCCATCATCCCCGCGACTGCGCCGGGGGGAGGCAGCGCCCTCCCCGCGTTCTGCGCCGGAACGATCGGAGATGCGCCGCTGCCCCCGTAGCACACCAAACTCGTCGCCTTGTGCCGCGTGCAGTGCGGATCCAGCGCCCCCGCGTCCATCGTCTCCGCCTCTAGCATCCTCATCGTCCTCTTCAGCTCGAATTTCAAATCTTCTAGCCGTTGAGCCGTGCGCTTGGCTCCCGCCGGCTTCGGCTTCGGCCCCAAGAACGCGCTCATCTTGAACAAATTGCGGAAGAAGCGCGCCGCCGCCTTCAAGAACCCCGTCGAGGTGGACGACGGCTTAGGCGCGCCGTTGTTTCCGCCTGAGGAATCCAGGGGGTTCGACTGCCAAGCCAACGCGGGAAACGGTGAATTATTGCACGGAAAGTCCCGACCGGAGATCTCGACGGAGATGAGACGATACGTGCAGCCCCGATCTACCGGTTTCTGCCTGCACGTGATTAGAGTCCGGAAGGGGCCTCAAAAGGAACACGGCGAAGCCGAATCAGACGTAGACGTAGGATAGTAGATCGAGACAAGGGATCCAGCCCAGTTGCGCGGTCGCCGCGGATGCGTTCTAGCAGCCGATGGGATACCTGTACAAACATCAAATCACAACACATTGCACAGAAAGATAAATTGGATTTTGAATTGAATACCCTGTGGTGGTGGTGGGGGGGGGGGGGGGGGGGGGTACAGCCCTGTACGCATACAAACGTATACATATATATAAAAAATACTTCCAAACGACGAAGAACAATTACACGATGCATGCATGCTTCGTAGCAACGCTTGATTCCATCGCTCTCTGCTTCCCGTTTGGCGTCTGCCTTTCCCTCTTTCCCCTCCCTCTTCCACCTTTTCTCCCCCGACGCTACCCTCTTCGCTATCGATCTTCTTGCCACTTCCTTGTTATCTCTTTCTTCCCGTTATGTCCCCATCTTCCTTCCCCGTTCTTCTCCCCTCCCGCCCCCCCCCTCGCCTGTCTTCCCCTTGCCTCCTTCCTCTTTCATGTCCCTCTACCTGCATCTCAACCCGCTAGTCCTTTTCGCTCTTCTTCTTCTTCTTCTTCGCTTCGACCTTTCTCCATCCCTTGGAGTTACTCTCTTTCCCTCCCTTTTCTTCCCTCTCTTCCCACCCTTCCCTCATGTCTACGTTCCCTTCCGCAAAGCCTATACTTCCTTCTCCTTCCTCTGGCTGTACCCTTCTTCGTTCCGTCATCCTCTAATGCCTTCTCGCTCTCCCTTCTCCGTCAAGCAAGCCTCCGTTCCTTCACTCAAGCCTCTGCCTTTCACTTCTCCATAGCCTCCTCCCTCTCTTCCCACCTTTCCCTCAAGCCTCTGGCTCTCCCTTCTCCATAGCCTCCTCCCTCTCTTCCCACCTTTCCCTCAACCCTCTGCCTCTCCGTTCTCCGTAGCCTCCTCCCTCTCTTCCCACCTTTCCCTCAAACCTCCGTTCACTTCAGTCAAGCCTACATTCCCTTCCGCAAAGCCCTGCAGGTCGTTCTCTTTCCTCCGTCTGTCCCTTCGTTCCGTCATTCCCTATTCGCTTATGGCTTTCGCTTCTCTCAGTCGAGCAAGCCTCCGTTCCCTTCACCCCTTCACACAAGCCTCTGCCTTTCCCCCCTTCTGCGTTGCCTCTGGCTTTTCCCCCTTCTCCGTAGCCTCTGGCTTTCCATTCACTCAAGCCTCTGGCTCCCCCCCCTTCTCACGTCAAGCCTCCCGTTCCTTCCCCTTTCTATGGCTTTCCCCTTTCAACCCCCTCTTTTCTTCGTTCCGTCAGCCTCCTCCGCTCTCTGCCTCTATTGGTTCGCTCATTCTTTTCACGGCCGTTTCAACATTTTTTTCTTTTCCCGCAAAAAATCTTCATTTTTCTTCCTCAAAATCTGTCGATGTGCACGAAAGCAATCGACATTAAAGATTCAAAACCCAGAAGAGAGAAGGGGATTGGAGAGCCACTTGGGGAAAGCTGAATGCTGGGTCGCATATGGCAGGACAGCCGCTGCAGGCAAGAACTGGGAGTCGATGATTACAAAGGAAGAAGAGATGAGGAAGAGAGATGGAGGAAGAGAGATGAGGAAGGGGGGCGGGGTGAGTTACTCGTCATAAGGGTAGACGACTCACCAGCTACCATTTAGAGACCGGAGGCAGCGGGATCTCGAAATCGGATCCGACGTTGAGAGAAAACATCTTATCTTATGTACTGTCATGGATAGAACTGCCCTCTTCTTCCTCGGGTCTCGCTCCTGCTAGCCGTATAAGCGCCACACAGTAGACACTGGATATGTCTGCCGCTTTTCGTCCGCCTGTGTGTGTGTGTGTGTGTGTGTGTGTGT